ACAATTAATTTCGATATGTTTAAATAAGTTTTTCTACGAGATCGGAGGCGCGGAATGTTTTATTCCCCTCCACTCCTCAAATATTACACGTATCGCTAGTTCTGCGGGGCAGTTGTCGCACACCAAACTAAACCGTACCCAAAACCGAGCTTCGGGGTGACCCGGTTGGTCCGCGGCATGTATGTACGCCGACCCGAAATCAAATAATCTCGGTATATCTCGAACAAAAGCTGCAGCCGCGGCGGCGGTCGGCAACTTTCATGCGCGCCGGTTTACATTTTCGCGAGCGCGCGCTTTGATTTTCTCTTGATTCCCGTCCCTTGTGAGCGCGCTAGCGGAGAAATATCCTATTCGTTTTCCGTACACGCGAGTACTCCGCGATATTTTCTAACTGACCGGCATGCGTAGTACCGAGAGACCTGAGTAAATAAATAAATAAATCCACCTGTGCATATTGCGATCGACGTATATATCGCTCTTTTTTTTTTTTTTTTTTCGCGACAACGTGCTCCGCCCCGGCTCCGCTACCTGTTTCCGCGAGAAATGCGCTAATATCAGCACCGACGGGATGGTAACCGAGCTGATCCGTTTATCCTTTTCCTTTTCCACGCTGTTTCCTTTTACGTTTTCCCCCTTTTTTTCCCCGCTCAGTCCGATTGCATTCCTGTTTATCCGTATTTATGCAATGGAACACTCACCAGATTTCTGAGCACGTCGTCCGGCACGTTTCTGGTAGAATTGCACAGCGCCCTGGCAGCGCTGTGCGAGAAGATTACCGGCGCCCTCGTCGTTTGCAGGGCCGCCCTCATCGTTCTTGTCGAGACGTGCGAGAGATCGACCAACATGCCCAGCCTGTTCAATTCCCTGACAACTGCCTGTGGAATAATGAAACGAATGTTAAAATCACTTTTATCCGCACAAAGTCATGTGGTATCTTAGAAAACGATGGAAGATGGAATTTTAAAAAAATTATTTTAACACAGCAATTTTTGCAAAAAATAAATAAATTATGAATTTTTAGTAAAAAGTAATATAGATAAAAATAAGTAAAGAATAAATAAAGGAGATGTTACGCAACATTTTAGGGCTTGATCTGTACTTTTTAGATATTTTCGGTAAATTGATATGTTCCAATATATTCTTATACTTAGAAACATACTTTTTAAAAGAAAATACTTGATAATAAATTATAGGAAAAAATCAAAGTATCGTAAATTCTTAAGTTTGAGGCGATCGAACTATCGATTGGGATGATGGGTCTGGAACGAGGTGCGTCTATTTTGGCACAAAAACACGAGGAAAGGATCGACCGGGAACGGTGAGAGAAAAATATCATGGGAAACGAAGGAAATACCGGCGTTTCAACCAACGAACATTAGCTGGGAACGCAAGCAACCATCCGTTTCATCATGTGATAACGAAAAAAAGCTTCGGTGTATTGGCGGATAGTTGATGCGCAAGCTCGAGCTTAATATATTTCTTTGACCCTCTGCTATCATAAATGTTAATTACTTGGATGTCTTATCTTGAAAATAAAGTAAAATTTTAATTATGAGAAATGTTGTGAGCGTTAAAACGAGCTCATAAATTAGCGCAGCAATTTTGTTCAATTTTGAATTCAATTTATATCGCTTTTATGATTGATTATTCAATTAAACTAGTTTGGGATTGCTAAAAATAATTGGCAAACAAACATGGAAGAATTAATTGCTTTACGTTTTTTTTACTTTTCCTATTTTTGTTCTTTCAATTAATAATTTTGAGTAAAGTTGAATAATTCTTATTCGGATGTTCCTGCGTTATTTTTTTACAAACGTCATGAGCAAATTTAGATAAAGATAATTTTGTCAATGGAAGAAGAAACGGAGAGAGTTGAGTGGAAAAACAAATCAGTGATTTGAGATCACAATGGTCTCGTTTTTCCAGCTTTTAACTGTGAGGACTTGCCTTTCTTGGTGCACTTGATTTCACGCAAACGATGCGAGTCTCGTGCGTCAATGGCAGAAAACGATGCGCATTGTTTTTGCGGAGAGACGCTCTCTCTACGCGTTGTTTTAGCGAAACGATTATGCGAATAGAGAACGATTTCTTATCAACAGATTAATGTGATCGATAAGTAAAAAATGTTGCTCGCATGCAAAATACAACAAAAATAAAATAACGAAAAATAAAATCATGGGCAGCTGGAATAGACGAATAAACAGCTGGGAAATTTTATCGCATAGAGCTATAATTAATTAATAAAACGAATTAATTAAAAATATAATCTAATTAATAAAAGTTAAAAATTATTTAAATAATTTAGCATATAAAATATTCTAATTTACGCTTCAGTAATATACATCGCTGATCTTTTGATTAAGTTAGGTTTAATCGGAATAATTTTCAATTATCAATATCGCATAATACCGGTATCGTTTTTTTTGTGGAAATCGAAGAAGGAAAATCGATTTTGCGATAATCTGTATCGCCGCAAACAAAACTACGAATTTTCGTGTGTAACCCGATGCCTGTTGCTGGATATCGAGCGTGCGGCGAGACTAGTCGGAACTAATCGTCGCATCCAAAAGCCGCAATAAAATCAAGTTCGCGTTTGCAACCGTGACAAATACAACGCCGCGAGCTATCGCCATAATTCCACGGTGTATCACTGTGTCGCGTGATTCAAAATAAATACGGGTGTGCGTGCGTGCGTGCGTGCATGCATGCGTACGTGATGCATCGTGGCCGTGTCGTACGCACACTCGCGCTACCCGCGTATCTGGCGAATAATGGGACCGGAAAATATGGGTCGTTCAATAGAAATAACAGACTAAAGGAACAAGTAAGCAAAGGGCAAAAATGTCCAATGAATTGTGCGCTCGTTCACACACGCACATACACAGACACACGCGCGCGCGCGCGCGCGCGCGCGCGCCAAGTCACTCTCTTCGTTGGGATGTATTTCGCTGTCCATCGTCGGAAATACATGCCGGTATTTGCAGTGGCGTGACGCTAAATTGTACGCGGAGACACGAGCGGGGAATTTTCAAATAATTCCATTTGTCTTTTTGAACGAACCACGACGTCGCGATGCTGCTATTTGAAGTGACATCCGTCTCGGCTGAAACGTATCACCGAATGCACAAAGCGTCTGGTTGCGATAGATGCAGATTACGAGATAGCAAGTTATTCACTTATGATGCTCTTCAATTGCTTAAATAGCATTTCAAGTCTCCTATTGTCCGCTACGCGCGATTGTGAAGGTTCGTTTCTTTCTTTCGTTTGTATTTCGAGACTCTCAGGTACGACTGCGAAAGCGGAGAGAATTCTCTTTCTCTGAATAGACCTTTGTGAAAAACCGAACTAACGCATACGAAGTGGGTTATTGTCCCTGATAAAAATATTTCGGTATTGCAGATGGGAGGGAGGGGGAACGATATTACTTCCGGGACTTGTAGATTATCGGAATTTCGCCCAGTGCCAGGCTACCAGCAATAATACTTTTGTACCGCTGGTGTTTCAATATAGCCAGCGGTGTGTTGCGACAATCGAGACACGCCAGGCAACGCGACTTTTCGTTTATGTAGTAAACAAAATAGAACACGGTTGAGATCGCCCAGAAAATTCTTTTTTCCAAGTAATTTATTGTAACCATGGGTCAGTCACATTCGCCGTTTTTCGATAGTCAGTTACAACGTATACCGAAATGTAGACGAATTGGTAATATTCATTAATTAATTAAGCTTCCTGTTTGCAAATAAATAAATAAAAAATAAATTGCATCTGAATAAAATATATTACTGAGTTGCTAAATATAGGGAAAACAAGGAAATATTTAAATAGTCTATAATAATAAAAAATTATTAAAATTTTGAAATAAACAATGATGACTCGGAAGATCATCACAGCGACAATAAATTATTATAAATTGTTTAATTGTTGAAAACCTTGAGCTGTTTAGCGCTTTACGAGAATGTCAGTTACAAACTGCGGAGCATTCAACGACGCGCATAGAATTTTTCTTTGGAAGATCTATCATTTATATATTAATGCGAGATTTACTCCCCTCCCCTCCCCGTTGCAAGAGGGATGCGAGATAACGAAGTGATTCTCTTGATATACGCTCTTACGTGTCTTCCTCGCCCGCGCATTTACCTCCCCTTCACTTCTCCCATCGTCCGTTATTTCTAAATTCCTCCTCTCCTCTTTTCTTTTTTAATCGAAAACTGCTGTTACCACGAGAGAGTATGAATTTTGACAAAAACTCAATCGATCCGAAACGATCCGTTTCTTTTTGGTTTCTTTTTCCGGATGGATTTCGGGATTTGCACGACGCTAGAATGGCAGAAATTCGCCCCGACGAGATCGCCGAACGCCGACCGAGCCTGGTGCGTTAACGCTCGAAATCCCTCGACAAATTCCACGCGCGCGAAAGTGGGTCGGGATATAATTTTATGAACGCGGCGGAGCGACGGGAGTGATAAACGGAATGTAGGTCGGACGCGATCGGTCGCGTGTTCGTTGACGGTTACGTCGTGGAAAAATAATTCGAGCCATCGAGATCGTGAAGCCGCGATCTAAATCCCACCACGAAAATTGGGAACGTCCCTGATGTAATGTGCCGTCGTGACGTCTCGTTTATTTAGATATTTCGGAGTGAGGTAAGCCGTGGGGAAATTTTGACGTACAAGCACGAAGCGCCGGTAAAAATTAACGGACATTACTTTTTATCAATGTATTTATGCGATTCATTTGAATAACGTCCGCTAATAGTTAATGATTTAGACGATAAATATTTTTAACTCGGGCAATAATATTATTTGGGATGTATCATCGAAAGAAACAATTTTGTTATTTGCCTTCGGATATTTTTCACGCGTTTTAACGACGTGAGATATTCTCTCCGGTGTTCCACGCTGATATTACTATTTATCTAAGCAACATTATATTTCTGTAAAAAAAAAGCTGAAAATATTTAATGCAATATTCGCGTTATAACGCACGAAATTCATAGTGAAATTATAATCTAAACTGTCGTGCGGTCGTTTCGCGGAATAATGCCGGGGCGCGTCTTGGCCGGAAGTCTGCAGTATTATTTTTCTGCAGAATGTCGCGCGACTCCCGCGTCCGCGGTCGTAAAACGGAAACTTTTTCGGAAGCGTCCATGTACACGCGGGCATTTTTTTGCGAACGCGATATTTCCCTGCTCGCTGAAAAAGGTAAATCCGCAGTAGAGCGTGCAATGTAAATGTTGACTCACTTTCCCAAATTCGCTGAGGCCCGGCGTGGAGTCCTGAGTGTTGTTCGTCTCGCCAACAGAACAGACTGCCCTGCCAAGAAAATGTCTGTTAGAACGTCGGTTTGCGTCTCTCGCCGCGAAAGTCCAGCGGTCACACTGCGTGCTACCGCTTGCTTTCTCTCCCCTCGGACGAGATTTTGGAGCAAATCATATTTTCTCAAGTATCAGGGTTATAAAATTTGTAAATTCATACGTACTACACGGATACGTTCATCGTGCCATATTTTTTTCATTTCTAAACGTGAAATGAAACGAATCGCAAATTGTTTATCATGGAAGCGTGTATTATTCATAAAAAATTAATTATTCTATTTACTTCCTCTACTATTTCCTAAAGATATGTATTCATGTATCTGATATCATATAAATATATTTTATCATAAAGATTTATGTCCGAACAAACCATGATTAATTGCGCGTGCGGCGGTAAAAAATTTTTTTTTCGTATATTTGATTCAAAAATTCATTATCATTCTGTAGTAAATTTTTACATTTTTAATTGGATTAGTAATAAATATTGGACATATACTGAGATTTAAATTTCTTTCTACTTGCACTCGGATAGGCATATTCGAGAAACTTTGGGTCAAGTGATTCAGGTCAAATGTGCACGAACTCTGCTTTCGGGGTTGTGCACTTCGTTATCATATATGTTGACTTTAGAATTGTTAAAGCAATTCGAAGCTTATCCGAGTTTCATGTAACTTTTCGGAAATAACACATATTTCTATTATTTATTCCAGTTGTCTTGCTGACTGTTAAATACAAATTAATTGGAATTGGGAAAAGTTTCAAAATATCTCTAAAACTTTACCTCGAGATACGAATATGTAATGACTATGTAATGATTATGTACAAGATATATTTCGATATATCGATTTAATGTAAGATCTTTTACAAAATACAAACTTGATATTTCCACAATAAATTTTATAGAAAACTGTTTATCTATTGTAATTTATTGTAACTTTTCAATTATACAACTTCATAGTAAATTATAAATATTATAATATAATTATTTAATACTTATAATTAATGTAATATCTTATTATGTATTTACATTTTTAACACTAATTTTCATAACTAAACATTTGCACAGCTTTAATTCTTGTTAAAAAAAATACGTTTTTAAATTCATTAAAGAAGTTATTAAGTAAGTGTTTCAATTATGATGAATATATTTTGCATTTTATCTCTGTCTACTGTTGAATACATAGGAAAAATGGAGAAAATAAAAAAGAGAAGGTTAAAAAACAAATGGTACAAAGGCGCGAATGGTATCGAGAATCCGATAATTCTTCATGGTCGATTCTCGTTTCCAAACGTGGAAACGCTAGAGATGATTCGGCATCGTCATCTAGAATTGTAGAAAATTCAATCGGGTCGACAATCTCGCGTCTCCAGGGAAGACGCGCGACAGAAAACGGAAGAAAATGAAGAGAAGCAAGAGAGAAAGAGAGAGAGAGAGAGAGAGAGAATAGGGTCAAAGGTTGACATTAAGCCTCGGGTACACGTCCGAAAGCAATTCGGATATTGTCTCAATAAAAGCACGCTTTTCCTCATGAATGCCGGAAATCTCAGACCACAGAGATGAAACCGCATTTTTAGGACGAGTTTTCTTCAAATGTTCTCTGTAGACGGTAGGCTGCATCTTTTTCCATTTATGTAACTATCATGTATATCTTCTGCGTTACCAAAAATTGTATTATGTATGTTGCTTTTTCTATTACGATTTATTTCGACGTACGTTCTAGAAATATTTGGAAACTTTTTTAAATGATTAATTTAAATTTAATTGAAGTAATTCTTAAGCGAAGGATTGTTTTTAAGAATCTACTGTATATAACTTTAGAATTAGAAAAAAAAGTAAATCATTTTTAATTTAAATAAATATATTACTTTTGTTTTTATCTTATAGATATCTCTATAACTTTTCGACATCTATATCATTATTTCAGTGATATATTTATTTATATGAAATGGACTCCTTGTTCTTTTTTCCGTGATTCTGATGGAATTCAATTTGATACCGAGAAAAGAACCGTCTCGTATATATATCGTAAGGCGACACATCGGCGTAATTTTTGGGGGGGTCAGAAGAGAAAAATATGTACTATCCGAGAATAGAGATTTGCACGTAAGGGTGCCCGACATGACTCCCGATTCTTATTTACTGCGGTAAGCATCGCGGCTCGAGGGAGACATAAAGCAGGCGAGCATCGGAAAGAGCACGGCGAACCAGGTCGGTGCCCATTGTCGTATAATACTTCGACCTTAAAGTGGCGTTAAAGTTAGTAACATCGACGGTCACCGTCGTAATTTACATCCCCGAAAGCTACCGAGGCATCCAGCGTCGCTCTCCTCGAGGCGTAAATCCTATTTCGCGTGGCAGGGAACACAGAGTGAGATTATTACGGTTCAAGCATGATTCTCCGCGCTCGTAAAAGGTACGGTGGATACGTACGGTCGATCAACGCGGTTGACGATCTCCGAAATTCGGCTCGAAAAAGAAATAAAACGGATGAGAATCATACAACATGTAATAAATATAAATATGAAAATGAAATAGCGAATGAACGAGCGAGAGAAAGAGAGGGTGGGAGAAGCATATTTTCGAATACATCTTTGTCGAATCGCCAAAGTTGTCGAATCATTTCGACAACTTTGGCGTTGCGAATTAACGATAGTTCACAAGTTTCGTGAGAAAAAAAAAGCAAGGAGAACGTCCCAAACTTTAGTTTCCGGGTTATGAATATTATTATGTTAAAAAGGTAAAATGCGAAGTTTTGGCGAAGTTCGAGAAAATAAGGCGAGAAGTCGGGTGAAATTTTTCATTGATTGCGAATAAAATTTTTTTCCGACGGGAAAGATCTGTGTAAATGACCGTGGCGCTGGTAATTAAATGAGTGTGGAGTTACACGGAAGTCGAATGTTCCTGTTTCGCGCTCGTGTAGTTCTGTTTTATGGTCCGCGTAACTCGCAGCTCGCAAATAATGTTCGTTGGATTTTCCGCGAAAACGCAACTTGTCGCAGCTCACATGACCCGGATCGAACCGACGCATAAAAGCAAGGACTTTATTTATAACTCCGCGCGGTATGTGGCATCAAGGGATGCATAAACTTCGGATTAAAGATCAATGTTCGAGGTGGAAGACGAAAAACGATTCTATTCGAACATTGTTTGCCTCGCGATTTTCCTCGGTCCGGAAAAAACAAGTGGATAATAAATTAATGTGTATAATAAAAATAAAAGTGTTGTCGTACAATGTAGAAGAATAAACATAGAATAAAAGGCTTTATTAACTTTAAACTCTGATTATGTCGTGGATATCGTGGAATAATTTTTTTCTATGTTTTCTATGTTTCTTTCTCTCTTTTTTGTTTCGATATATATCGCGGGAAGAGATATGGAATTATTTATGTTTCAATATTGTAACTAATACGCAAGGGACTGCAGCAACGGTAAAGTAATATAAACGAGAATCATATTATTGTAAATTTTCATCAAAACGTTGAAGTTGATTTGTCAAGTCAACTTTTGGAGATCAAATAGTATAGTAGAAACAGCGTCAAGCAACATTTGTCTGATAAATTGAAAAACGAAAGTAGAATAATCTAATATTAAAATATATATATATATATATATATATATATATATATACAAACTACTATTACTACTAACTACCACTAACTTAACTTAACTAACTAACTTAACTTACTTAACTACTTAACTTATTATAATTATATATATATATATATATATATATATATATATATATATATATATATATATATATATATATATATAATATATAATATATATATATATATATATATATATATATATATCCGAAAACCTCCATAATCCACAAGTCAACTTTCACAATTTAGTTTCCTTAATCAGAGTGCCTGTAAAGAAATATATATATTTCTCTCTAAGGCACTCTGATTAAGGAAACTAAATTGTGAAAGTTGACTTCTGGATTATGGAGGTTTTCGGATAAGATGTTCTATTCTCGTCTCTTTTCCTCTACGAAATACTCTTCTTTTACCGTAAAGTTTCTTTTTCGAACGCGCTGGAAAATAAGCGGCAGCTTTGGGGTGCTTTCGAAATTACCGAAAAGAACTTCCGGGCGTCCAGATTTCAGGTTATTTCGGTTCTCGGTTAAGCCGATCAACCGTGGAATTGGTTTGCCTCTAAGAGTGGATCGTGATACGAAATACAACGAGTCTCGAGTAAAAAAAGGTGGATGTTCGATGAACGAGCGGCTTGTACATGGGGAAACTTCTTGAGCGAGAGGTAAGAGGAGGCAAGAATGATGCCGAGGAAACAAAACACCCTATCTTGATCTCGTGAATGAGAGGATGCAATCCTTCAACTTAATGAATTGTCACATTGACACGAGAAATATAACATCAAAAGTGAAAATATATTTTCTAGTAAATTCATGTTTCAATAGAGAATCATATATCTCAAAACACTTTTCTAAATTATAAAACAGTTAATCTTTTCTGTGAATTAAGATGGGATTGACTCATAATATGTAATAGGTATATATGGGATCATCTTGTTTTAAATAAAAAAATACTCTTGTAAAAATACCCTCGCTATAATCTATTTTTTACCATAATTCATTTATAATTTGAAAACCGAACCACAGGATATTAGCTTCTCATTTTTTTATTACTTCACTTTTACTCGTGATTAAATTCGATCACAACGATAATTCTTTATTATCTCGTTAGTTTTTTCTTATCACGTAATCGATTCGTTAAAGTATTATTTCTCTCATTGAAATCGCGATAAATTAATTATTCACAAGATAGGTACACTCTCTCGTAGTTCATACTCACCAGGAGGTATCGCACGCATGTGTCAGTGTGAGATATCGCGCACCCAGGCCGTAAAACGTCCTGAGAACACCCAAGGAATTCCCCAAGGAGTGACCACCTTCCACTCCGATTAGACTTGCGATTTTGCCTTCTCTATGCGCCTCGATGAGACCTACACACATACACATGTATCGTGATTCAAATAAAAAAGATCTCGCGGTATCTTTATCTTAGGTTCTATGATAATGGAAACTTCATCATTTTTTATCGTATTAAAACCTTGTAAGTACGCTGAAAACTACGATAGCGCTGCCTAGCGATGAACTTCCGAACTGGGAATACTTAAACCTCGGGAAACATCTAAGTACACGAGTTATTCGAGGCTCATCCTCTCGCGGAACTTCAAGTCATCTTCGGTGAACTTTGCTCTCGGCCGAATTACAGCTTCTTCGCTTCGCGAATCAGCGAAGTTTCGCCCGTTTTTTCGTCGTGCCCGTCCAATCGACGCGAGTCTTATAATTCTTCCTTTTTTTTTTTGCCCTCCCCGGGCGAGATTGAAGTGACACTTTATGAGATTAAGCGGGGCTCCGGGATCGTGGAATTATGGTGCTCATAGATTATTTACGACCTTCGTCGGTGAAGAGATCGGACGGAATCTCGAAAAGTCGGTCGCGCTTTGGGCAGGTCGAGAATGAATGAAAAGATCGGTAAAAATCGGCTTTCAGATCCGCTTTCGGAAGTGCTTTCAAGAAGTGGCTGTCGATCGCCTCATTGAAACTTTTACACTGCAACGAGACGATGGTGGTGGGATATTAAGCTGGCTGATTTCGTATCGTATTTTACATCGAATATGTCGATTCGCGCGACTTATCTATTTAACTGCATATCCTGGATTTAAAGTCCATTTTGCTGCGACATTAAAAATTATATGTATCTGTATCCTCAAGATCAATACGTTCATTGGGCTTATCTACTTTTTTTTATCATCCCGTTGCTTTTCACTCGCTCACCAATAAAAAAGATTCTCAAAATCACATTTTTAAAAATATTATGTTCATTTACGTCACTTATGACATCTTGTTCACTTTTCTGCTTAATCGTCAGTTAGTTATTATTGATGCTAGTTAAATTAATAATAATTATAATTTAATTAAACTTGTAGATGGTTGCACAACTACGTTAAATAAATCCAGGAATATGTGGTTATAATTAAAAAACATTGAATAATTATGAAGAAAAACTAAAACAATAAATTAATATTAACCTAAGGTTTTTACGCGCTTGCTTGATTCACCTTTTATCATGCCATACGCTAAGTTAAAGCATTTTATAGCATTTAATGGGATTTAATACCTTTTATCTTGATACAAGAAAGCCGCATACTCTCTTTAGAGAAACGCGCCACTGATCTCGAAAATTAAAAAGCTGTAATCTTCTCTTGTAACTGTTCTCTGCTTTTTTGCTGCTTTGAACGAAGCTCGCTCGGAAGCAGCTTGCTTTTTTCCAAAAAAATAAATGGATGTAAATGAATATGTCCTCTGTTTTAATAACGTTCCTGTTTTCATTATTAATCGTTATATTTTTATTAATCGTTATATTAGTCACCTTTTTATCAGGTACGTAATGTAGCATCTAAGAATGATTTCGTGAATTGTACATAGTACGGTGATGATAACATATAATATATGAAAAGAAGAAATTCTTTAGGATTAAATAAAAATTATTATATAAATTTATACTTCAATGATTTTATTTTTTGATTTTAATCGTATCACTGTCATGTCAATGTACGATAACTGTCTTGTTATTATTGTATCTTCCCCGTACAGACTAGAAGAAAGAGGAGCTGCGAAGCACATTCTGCCAGTTATTAACAGAGTTTTCTTGTGCTTTGGCTCGTAAAATTCAATGTGGTAAATTTTCAGAATTGCGATTTTTTTGTCTGTTGGGATGCCGTTGTGAGACAGGTTCGCATGCACGAGCCGCTGGCTTTTCCACCTTTTACCTTCTTCGTGTGCTGCGACCTCCTTTCCACTTCCCACTTGGCGAAGTTTCTCGAGCTTATGAAAATGGCTGACAGCTTTCCGGGCCGGGTTACTCGCGGTAAGTTCCATTGCGATGCTTTCGTTGCGAGGCAATGCCAGTCCCATTTCTTTGCTCAACCTTCATATTTCCCTCTTTCATATTTCACCGACGTGCGTAACTTGATTTTGCGTACGTGTCCAATCAACTGTCCATTTGCATAAGGGTGTTCCTCGTGAAGGGATCGAGCTTTTTACTGAAAGATTAACTGTCGCTTATCAATCACACAAAATGTTCAATTTATAAGATATTTTTTTTCACATAAAGATTCGTATTAAAATTATCAAAATAAAAAGTATCAAAATTATCAAAATAAAATTTTGTTATAAATATAATAAAGTCAATTATCAATCTGGAATAAATTACACGTTTTTCATTATACGATGTGTACAGCGTTGAAAACTTATTCGTTATGTTCTTAATCGTTTTTCGGTTATTTATGCAGCACTCGCAGAAGCTTTTGTAAAATGTTATATTCTTATCTCTTTCTCGCGCGACCTCGATTTGATTTCAACGAGCTTATGAAAATGGCAGTCGGGTTTCCGAAGTGAGTTACTTGTCGCAAAAACTTTCACAAGCTTTCGCGTATATCCTTCCCGCCATCCTCTCTTGCTTGGTATTTTCTTTTCTTTCAGGCTATGCGCGCAGTTTGTTCTTTGTTTTAGTGCCGATGTTGTCTCGGTATATATTCTCTCTTTTTTTTTTCCCCGAGAGCGTATCGTAAAAGTAGCTATTGCATATCGATGAAATTTATTCTCCATTAGTTGATTTCACCAACATTCCGCAAATTCTCGTTATCAAACGATAGATTGACCCATCAATTTTTAACGGCAAATGAGTTTTCGTTAAAAATAGGGATGGTTCAACAGTCATCAGGCGCTAATGGACGTTCGCGAAACAAAAAATTTACATCCAACGTTTTATAATCTTTTTAACCTTTAGCCTGTATTGAGATAAATTTTTGACATACCTAATGGTTTATAACAAGTTTCTAAAAATACGGAATACCGTATATTACAGCTTCAATTTGTTTTCCCTAAACTCGTAAAGTAAATAAAATTTGTAATGTACAAAATGTTATCGCGTCAAGCATTACAACAAACGCATTAAAATAAACTAATCGGCATTAACTCGTCAAGATTAGTTCGAACTGCCAAGTGATAAAGGTGAAAGATCTGACATTATTTCTCGCAATCTTAATGTTCTTATCAAGTCTTCTCTTTGAATGTTACATCTCTAGTGTCTCGTGAATTAGTAGGAAACCTTCGTCGATTATGGCATGGGCGATAGTCTAATACTTTTGTCCACTGCTGATAAATCTTCCACAATACCAAGTTACGCCATCGAATCGAATCCAATAACGACTTTCCTCTTCAACTTTGGAGAAGTCGAGCAATTAATAGCGGTCCTTTATCCCCTCGAATCGTTCCGATGAGAAACTTTCTCCAAGACGCTTTCATATCTATTGGTACCACCAGTTAGCGTGTTACATTTAATAACATAATACGGCGGTCACAAGAATTCTTTCAGCTACAAAAGGCTCTGATCAAATAAACTGAATTGCCCCTGAAGACACACAACGGAGATTCTTTCGATAATACTTTAGAGACCCGTTCATTATATACACTTTTATTATTAACGCTTCTAACCGATTCAAATTCCATTTTTTACTTGACACAACTAACTTTATTTGTTAATCAGTTAATTAAATATAATTTATAAAGCACTTTTATAAAATATTAAAAAAAAAATATTTTTACGTCTTTAAAATCGATGCTAAATATTCAAGTATCAAGTCATCTGAAATAAAATTACACACGTTTGTATAAAAATAAGAAGAGAAAAGAAAAGAAAATTGCTGATGTGAAGAAAAATTATGTATAATTATATGTAACTATTATCATATAATGCAGGGAATAAATTAAGACTGTTGAATACAGGACAGTGGTAGCATATGTATTCACCTTTGACGGAGGTAACCAGGGTTAAGTGTTGAGCATTCATTTCGGCGAGTCGACGAATCACGTCGATCTGTTCCAGTGAGAGTTGAACTGCATTTAACTGAGCGGCACCGCAAGGAACGTAGGCGGACCAAAACTGAAAGGAGCATGTAATATTAAATTTTCATATTTGTAATACACATATACTCTCAAATGACTGGTAATTATTTAAAAATTAATTATCAATTTCTACAAAATGTAATTTTTAAAATATTTTAATTACAAAGTCTCCGAAACGATTACTTTGAATTTCTCCTTTAAAAATATTTCTCGCAAAGAGAAATTGCAAGAAAAATTGCAAATTTACTTAGGAACAAAGGTTTTAAGAGAAGAATTATGTCCATATATATTTGCGTCAGAGAAACATTGTGTTAAAGTTACTTTTAGCAAATAAAGTGGCGGAAAATACTAAGTGTAAAAATATTAATGGTACGTCTTGCGTATTTTTTTTTATTGACTCTGACATCGCGTGACTATAGATTACGTCATAATACAATCACGCCTAACTATTCACATGCTTTGCAATTGTCGGCACGATAAATGTTTCATTAATTCTTTACGTTAAAGAATTAATAGGTTTTTTTATTTGAGTCGAACAGTCACTTCATCGCGAGAAAGGTTATTTAGCTTCTTGTCGATAAGAGGAGTTTCACGTTATTTTCCTATCGCTACTTTATTCCTGAAATACCTCGGCCCTTTTATTTATTTATAGTTATCTAATTACTTTGCATCATTTAAAATATGATGTTTTGATTAAAAATTCAGAAATCTCTTCATTTGCGGAATTAAATTAATTATGAAAGAACTTAATATTTATGACTGACTGCAAGGCTCTCTTTTGTACTTTTTATTTATAATGTGTACTAAAGAAAATAAATAAAAGGAAATGTTCAACATTTTAAATCGAAGTAAAAGTAATGGTCGATTAAGATAGTAATAAGCGCAAGATATTAGCTTCCTATTTTCCTCCTAAGACCGTCGTAAAGTCATCACGTTCCCGAGTTCACGACTGTGGTTACGTCGGTTTTAATCTTGATTTGCCACCAGAAATGATCTAAATAACTGGCGTAATCCTAATTTACGCGTAGGACGATTCGAGTTAAACGCTCGTGCAGTTCGGCGAATGTGGAATTCCTCGGGTCGACCGAATATCCGATATACGTCGTCAAGTAATCGAACGTCAATATCGTCCTGGTGTACCAGAGGACGATGGGAAGGGGAGAGAAGACACGCAGCACGCGGTGCAGTTAGTTGCGGGAATACGGCATTCGGCCCGAATTTCGCTGCGCTCTCTCATAGAGGCTTTGAGAGAGAGCTAGCGTTACCAATTATTCGGCGGTCTAATTAGCACCGAGTTGCCGCGTGCTGGCGTAAATATTGAATTTCAGTTCCGAGTGTAGTCTAACGCGATTGGCATCCTCGATTCTCGCGCTGCCGGCCCTCCTCCGACGTCAACATTATTATACTAATCGCATGACGACATGGATGGGCGGGACGACGCGCATTCGGGATCGGGAGGGATGAAAGGCGAAGCACGGCGGAGGTACGGTGGAGAGAAGAAGCGCGGAGGGAAGAAAAACGGGAGGGACGCGAGAGATAAAATGAACGGTCACGGAAGTCTCTCTCTGCAACTCAAACGAATTCTCTTTCGGCGGAAAAACGACGGTGGCGGGGAAACGGAGCCATTGTCTCGACGACGCGTAATATTTCGCCAACGGTCTTTTAACGCTTACATCCACCGCGGATGGTACAAGTGGTGTGTTTTACATATAATTCTACTTCCTGACCATGGGCGTGTCCAGAGGATTCAAAACTCCCTCTGAAATTTAAAAAAATAATTTAAAGTTGAAGTTATGATTTACAAAACTCAATATTTTTCTCATCCAAAATCAAGAACGAGATATTCTGAAAGCTCTGAAATATCCATGTTTATGTGTTAACAGAACTGATAAAAACCGTGTTGATATTTTAGATATGCTGTATGCAAGAATTATATATGGAAAATTTTTTACCGAGTCTTCTTATAACAAAGTGTAACAAATATCAAATATTCGGTGAGGCAAAATCTTAAACGTCTCATTTTAATTTTTTGTAATATATTTGTATATAAATTCAATACAGATGTCAGCAATCATGTGCCGTTACTTTGCACAGATTTGTAACAGTATCCTCTTATTACATCGAGTTGACCATTCTTTTAAGCGAGTCGTGATATCGTAACACAGATCCTCGTGAACACTCGATGTTTGTACGATCTCGCGGGACCTAAACGCGCGCGATTTATCACCCTCGCTGGCTACCGGCTAGACGAATTCAAATAATTTATAGTATTTTGCGCATAATTTACACGGAGTGCGGATGCACGTGACGCGCGTGTAGACATCTTTCCGGTACATCGCGTGGCAGATGCGCGCGATAGAGGGTTATTCGTCACGGCGAAATAGACGCGGGGACGCTAATAATCTGACGCCGCTAACTGATGGAGTTTAGCGTTGCGAACAGCGAGCGGAGGGCGGATCTGTGACGTTTGCCTATCTTCCGGACGACCCCCCCGCGCGTTTGCAGCAGTCCGTGCGGACGATCGCATGGCGAATCGCAGTTAATAATGATATCGGCGGGGGGGGGGGGTGTGGGGGGTGCGGCAGATAAAGCCATCCGACCGGAAAGCTACGTGCCTTCTTGCAGAAGGAAAGCAGATAACACTGACGAGGCCGGGAGGGGGGAGGAGGGGCTGGTTCAAAACACGCGACGGCTGCCAACGGAATATCCGCTCGATAGCGGCGCAACGTTTCGAGAAATCCGGGGCGGAAATGTATTTATCGAAGAAAACGTATCTTGAGCGCGCGTCGGCGTGAACTCTGGATGAAGGATAAACAACGGGGCGGATTAAATAGACGGCGCGCTTCGTCGTCGCCTCGCGGAACGGTGTCAAATCTTACAGACGTAATCGCGATAATGAACGCCAAAGATACTTGAACTTACGGGAGGAACGCGACGGTGCGTGGTGCGTCTTCAGACATTTGTGGCGTCATATCCCGCTGTCGGGGTGTACCTAAAGAGCTAAGTGCTAACGGCTAAGTGCAGTGCCATTTGCGGAAACGACATCTCCGTTCTAAATAAGCGAGATATTTGGAATTGTGCTTCTTTCACACGCTTCCTCTTTGTTTTTGGCACTTGCGATCTTTTTTTAACATGATTAACGCTTCGAATAATCTAGAATTGCTACTTTGCACGACTCTGGTAAAGTTCACCAGAACTTGCCAAATGCACGCTGCCTGCCTTACGGCGCGTGGAGAAAATCGCGATACATATTCCCTTTGCGAAGGCGACGCGGCGTCGCGGGCTGAAAGGCCTCTCGAAAACAAAGCTTTCGATGCGTTCCGCACGCAAGTGCACTCACACAACTCGTGCAAAATGAGAGAGCTCTCTCTCTCTCTCTCTCTCTCATTTTGTATTCTCTCGAAACAGTCTTTCCCCAACGATGAAAATCACTTTCTTGTGCGCACGTTGAAACGACCCGTGCCAACGAGCGTGCTTCTGTGTTTGTTTCGCGCCAGAAGAAAGCTCATAGAAGAAACGCGAGATAGGTGGTAAGGCTCGGGGTAAACAACAACGAGGACGGGGGTTGCGACTGGTCCAGCGGCGGCCGACTTCGTGGATAGAGCTTGCGTCTCGCTGATTGTCTTTTATCGCCGTTCTCCCGTTGCAAACTTCGGCAATCTTTTCGCGGTCACGGTACTTTCTCCACGTTTTCGACGGAAGTTACGGGGCGAAAGCAGGGTAAAGGATGAGGACGAGGAGGAGAAAGGGGAGGACTGAACGGAAACTCGGTTTCCGTTGTCTGCGCGCGCGCGCACGCTCCCGAACGAACTGAGAAGAAATGGAATTTCGTCGCACTCCTGCTGCGGGAAATTTGTTCGTAAACAGGATTGCTATTGTTAAAGAAATCTACCTACCTATCAACCCGGGGTCGGTATGGAGTTCACCATCGCACGGACGCGAAGTTTGAGTGGCTCGACCTCGAAGGAACCGGTTTACTGCCGCAACGAATGCGCCTCGATACAGTCGCCTCGCGAATTACATGGCGTTTCTTCGTTTCGTTATGTCGGTTTTATCGTCATACTTTTTGCACGATAGCTTGAGGCGGAAAGCTGGTGCAACGGTGCTTTTTTTGTCTTAGTGGCCTCTACTTGTATTTTTGTAGTAGCTAAACAGAGTGAATTTTCTTTGGCGCTCGCAAACGTTTGCTCTAAGAACAAAAAAGCTTCATTTTGCTGTCACTTTCATGGAAATTATATGGCGATATTAATAATGTTCTGCATATCTACATTATGTATCTGCATGAACTTTATTCGCCGTACATCCTGTGAACTCGCAAAATTTTATGAAAGATAAACTTTTCAAAGAATAAAATTTTCAAATTCACAAATTGAATAAATATATCATGAAGGATCATAATACTAATGTCCCGTTTTACGGATCGATATGATATTTATTATATCTATTATCTCGTTTTATTATTATTTTTGTATGAACATGTGTATAAGTGTCAAGCGATATTTATTGATAATTCCAACGCATATTTCGAACATATTTCAAACATATTTTTGTGTATATATTGATATATTTTATATTACTGTAATTGAAATGTATATTATATTAATTACTAATTATGGGCACTATGTTATGTTTCACATCCGTGTATGACCTTTTGATATTATCAGTAAAATCATATTGACAGATAGATTAGATATTCTTGAACTAAAATATAATTGATTAATTTCCATTAATTAATTGATATGAGAGAGCATTTATTGGCGTATTAGTGCATTGTGCTAAATTCAAAATACCTCATCGGTTCACGAATTGAAATTAATCGGGTAATCGCTAATAATATATACATTATTAACGTTATAAGCCATGTTACGTGTATATTTAATCATGACAATTATAGCATTTGTAAGACTAATTCGCTTTTTATTTATTAATCAGAGAGATGTCAAAGTTAAAGATTATTTATGTACGAAAAAAATATTGTAGAAAATAAGAAATTTTCTACTATTGTAGAAAATTGTATTCCTTTTATTATATAAACATTTCTTACTAACA